GGGGCGTTCCCCCCGCTGAACCCAGATCGATGCGGGAAGGTTTGTCCAAGGCAGAGATTGGCAAACTGAGATTCTGGGCTGCATGTGGGGGGGGGGTCACCAGAGCTCCCCAACTCGTTCCCAAACTGTCATTTTTAATACAACCCAAGGGGAAAAGGCTAAACAGATGGAACAGATGACAGGAGGGCAATCGTTTCAACTATGTTTAATGTTAATCAAATGCAAATGAAATGTAGTTTTGTTTCGGCCCCACCTGCTATTTTGGGGAGTCAGCTCCCAGCGCGCTCCTCCCAAGCCAAGTCCAGCCTGTGAAGCCAAAAAAGTCGCTCTCCTTGACCTGGGCCCATCTCTGAGTTCATGGCCAAGATGAGATCTCGGTAGCTCAGGGAGCCACCACTGAGCTGTGCAGATGAAGATGTTCAGCGTGACATGCTCACCAGATATTTCTGTGACAACCAAGATGAAAACTATGAAAGCCATGGTCTATTCCAGTGATTCTCAACCTTGGCAACTTTAGGCTGTCTGGACTTCAATTCCCAGAATTCCCTAGCCAGCAGGGGTTGAAGTCCAGACAGCTTAAAGTTGCCAAGGTTGAGAAACGCTGGTCTATCCAGTGGTAACATCTGGCTATGAAAGCTGGACTTTGTAAAAGATTGAGAGCAGGGCTGTCTGCAGGATGCAGTCAAAAAAGTCAAGATGGAGATCACAGCGGCACAACTGAAGCATCACAACACATGCACATAAGTACAGGCAGAGCTTTGATCGCACCTTGGCCACCATCTTGACTTTTCTGACCTACCCAGCAGACAGCCCTGATTGAGAGAGAAAAGAGACGTATTTCAGTATTATGGATTGAGAAAAGGTTAATATGAATACCGTGAATGGCACGAAGACCCAGTCGGTCACTCCTGCACCACCTATGGACTGTCTGCTCCCATCAGACCCTGATCAGCAAATTGCAATTCGTGCATTTGGAGCATGTGATGTGCGCAGTCTAGAAAAAATGGTTAGGCGTGACAAGGTTGAGGGAAGTGGGCAGAGAAGATCAAAGAGATTGTTGGAGTTAGGTCACGATGGGGAGGGTTTGCCACTGTGGGTCAAAGTCAGACCCAATGAGCAGCAACTGACTTAACCAACTAATCTTCCTGCTGTTTCAGAAGTTCTAGGGCTGAAGCACAGGAAAGAACCCCCCCCCATGAAAATATGAGGTTCAGCAACACAACATGTGCGCACGTGTGCAAGCCCTGGATTTGGGCCTGGAAGCACTTTGCTGTTCACTTGAATTCCTATCTGCACGTGTCTCTCTTGCAGGACCACTTGGATGTCACGCTCTCTGAGCTGTTGGTGGCCCCGTGCAAGAACTTGAAGCTGCAGAGCCTGTCTGCTGCTGGTGAATAAATATTTGCTCAAGTCCTGGGTGATAAGCCTTGGAGGTTTAAGAAGGGGGGAAATCTTGTTCACTAACACCCTGACAAAGTGGTCTGGGGAGTGAAAAATGCTGGTGAATCCACCCAGATCATTCCAGAACAGGGGTTTTCAAACTCTTTCTGGCCGCAGAACCTGTTAGTTAAAAGGGGGGGGGAGGGGAAATCCAGGCGCTGTTGATCAGGAGATAAAACTCCAGTTGGAGTGATTCCCCCACCCCCCAGTTTCTCCCCCACCTTTCTAGTGCTTTCCTACCCTTGACCTCTAAGGAAGATATACAGATTCTCTCTCCATGGGAGATGTGCAGAGGGCATCTTTAAAAGTAGAAAGAAGAAGGGGATTCAGGTTCTCAGAAGGGCGTAACTAAGTCAGGAATCAGCCAAAGCGACAGGTCTGAAAGGTCTACGTGAGGTCTGAAAGGAGTGGCGCCATGTCACTCACACACCCTGGGATTTTTCTTTTCTCTTCCTGTGTTTTA